TTCATGCTGTACATAATACTTTCGGATATATATTCTCATCTATTTTTTTGGTACAGCCATATGAAATAGGTCAGCTAGATAATATTCTTTTTATCTCATTTTATACTTAGACATATAAGTAGACAGGAGTCCAATCCAGGTATTCTGATATCAAGTTTAGTTCTTTATTCACTATATTTATTTAGATATTTATATCTTTTTGTTTTAAATATAACGATTTCATTGGTCCAGATCACATATTTCTGATTTATAAAATACAGGGCTAAGCACTGGATTAGTATAAGCACTGGACTGCTAACGATATGGTCGACAGTTCAAACCCACCAGCTGCTCTCCAAAAACCCTATACATAGTCACTATGAGTCAAAACTGATTTGAGGGCATGCAACAACATTATTTTTATAGTTCCTTCTAGTTCTAAAATTCTAGTCATAGGATTTTTGGTGATATCATCTAGTCTAATATTCTTATGGAGACCTGAGAATTTTCACTTAATAAGTGGAGAGATCAGTTATAGGTTCTTGAGATTTCTAGACCCATGGAGCTAAATGGATCTTAGAAGTTTTCCAGGTCAATCTCCTAGCAATTTCAGGAATTCCTTTTCGAACATTCCTGAAAGTGAGTTCTCCAGGTCTCTGTTGGAAAGAATATACTGATAACTTAACTCTTAGTTAGGTCCTAAGTATACATGAAGTCCTGGTGTAGCCCTGTGGGATAAAACACTGGACAGCAAGATCAGTTTGAACCACAAGATTGGTTATTCAAACTCACTAGCCACTCCTTGGAAATCCTATGCAGGTTTACTGTGAGTTGGAACCGATTCGACAGCACTAAACTACAACAAAGTGTACGTAGCAGGTCACAGATATGATTATGGATGACTGTAGACAGATGTGTCTGTGTTCCTTCCTTTCTTTCCTGCCTACAGACAATGTATAGAGAAAGAGATAGAAATAAGATAAAGGACTAAGAGTGAAGTATGAAGTAGGCTTGGTAGGATATGATATTAACTGTTGACTGTTGGTTTTGTTGCTAGTTACTGGTACCCATACCTTGGGAACTGTTGCCTCAGATTCTGTTAACTTCATCCTACCTTGGCCCATATAATCAGCTGAAAATAAAAAGGAAATAACACACTTTTCAGGTTCTCTAGTAATTTTTGTATTTGTTCTGTAAATTTTGTCATACCATTTCCTTGTTGTTGTTGTTGTTTTTAATGACTTACAGTTACCCCTTTAGGTGTGTGTTTTTTTGAAAGCAATATTTTGTTGTGTCTCTGGTGAATGTTTTCACAGCAAATTTGGTTTCCATTTGACAATTTTATACACATTATTCAGTGATATTAGTTATATTTTTCACAATGTGTGGATTTTGGTTCTCTGTTTTTGGCTATGTGCATTTATTGCTATAAATTGCCCTCTCAGCACTGCTTTTGCTGTATCCCATAACTTTAGCATCTCTATGCTGGAGAGCAAGTTTCAGGGTCTCTTCTGACATCCATTTTGTTTTTTTCCTTCTAGTTGTCTTCTTAATGACCTTTTACTTTCTTCTTGTATGGTGTTCTTGATGTCATCCCACACCTCTTCTGGTATTCAGTCACTAGTGTCTGTTACATTATATCTGTTCTTGAGATGATATCAAAATTCAACTGGGATATATTCAAGATCATATTTTGGCTCTCATAGATTTGTTTTATGTTTTTTCAGCTTTAGCATGAACTTGCATATGAGCAATTAATGGTCTGTTAATTTTTAGCATACTTGTATTGAGAGGTATATCTTCAAGCTCACTAATTTGGTTTTCCATTGCTTTGTTTTTTGGTTAGTTGGTTATGTGTCTTGGAGTCAGTTCTGATTCATAGCAACTCATAGGATTTCTGAGGCTGTAAATCTTTATGGGAGCAGAAAGCCTCATCTTTCTCTCATGGAACAGCTAGTAGTTTTGAACTTTTGACCATTAGGTTAGTAGCCCAACTTGTAACCACTACACTATCAGAGCTCTTTGTGGTATTATCCTATATTTGTTTTAATTGATGACTGTATTTTGATGTATTCATAGGCTCTCACCAACTGTCTCCTGTGGGTATAGTTAGAGAATGGAAGTATGTTCATCATTCTTCATTTGCCATAATGTGTACTTCACTTGAGGGTGGGTTTGCCTGGTGTTGGTTGCTGTCTATCACTGATCCCATAATATAGGAGCTGGTATTGGTTGTTGCTCAGTGGGTGGAACTGTGGAGGGTATAATTGTGACTGGGCCGTATCTGCACAATTGCTGTCATATGAGAAAGAGGAGAAACCCTCTTCCCCTCCTCCCATACACACACAAGAAAACACACAATAAACAAGCAAGTAACCCACAATGAAAAGAAAAAATATTAAAGGTTAATAAACAAATAAAAACAGATAGTAAACAGGAATAAAATTACTGAAAAGAGAAAAAGGGACAGGAAGATGGAGCTATAGAAGAGAACAATAAGAGAGAAAATAAAATGGAAATAATTAAGAATAAAACAATTTAAAAACCAGGAAGAGTGAAGATGAAAAGAGAAATAACATGCTGAATAGTAAAGAAAGATAAAAAGAAAAAGAATAAAAAAGAAAAGAGGGTGAGAGATGAGAAATAGAAGAGAAGAAGGAAAGACAAAAGCAGAAACAGAAAGGATAAAATTCAAGGAAATGGAATGAGAGGAGGAAGGAAAATAAATAATAAACAAACACAATGAAACAATGAAAAGAAAAAACAAAATCAATGTAGCTGTTGGTCCTGGACAGGCGAAAACTCTGGGGGGGCTCCTGTCAGCTAAGGAGCTCACGAGGTTGGTGCACGATGGATGTGAATATGTAATTCTCTAGCCCTACGGGGAGTTCTATGTACTATCTATGTTATCAAGGTTGATCCTCTAAGAATTTATGTGTTTAGTTTGCACATTTATATTTTTAATCCATTTTGAATCTCCTTTTGTGTATTGTGGTAGGCAAGATTCCAGTTTCATTTTTCTGCCTTTGAAAATCTAATTTTCCTAGCATCATTTATTGAAAAGAGTTCTTTTCCCAATGAATGGATTTAGCACATTTGTGAAATGTTAGTTGACCATGGATGTGTGGGTGTTTTTCTATAGAGCTGTGTTCTTAAAGGGACTACTCTTTGCCGTGTTCTTAAAGGGACTACTCTTTGCCGTGGGGAAGGGGATTAAAAAGCCATTTCAATTTACTTTATTGATTTAAAAATTTGTGTGGATGGACTTTTTATCTTATTCTGACTTCTTTGAATTTTAAGGTACAAAGAAATGATGCATTCCTTGAAGAACATCATGATGGTAGTGGTTGAATCTATGATTAACAAATTTGAAGATGATGAGATAAGAATTAAAGAGAAGCAGAAAAAAATCCAAAAGGAGAAAAGCAGTAGTTACTGCACAGACAATTGCTCTGATAGTGATTCATCATTCAACCAGGTGTGTTGCTTCATTTAATATTTATATCTTGAAACGGTATTTAATAATCACTAGCGTAGTGGTTACAAATCGGGCTGAGAACCGCAAGGTCAGCAGTTCAAAACTACCAGCTGTTCCGTGGGAGAAAGATGAGGCTTTCTGCTTCCGCAAAGATTTACAGCCTCGGAAACCCTGTACAGGGTCACTATGAATCAGAACCTACTCCACGGCACATAACAACAACAACAACCTTCAATACATTCTGTATTCATTAGATTCTCCTTTGTTTTTCAATTTGGAGATTCAGAAGTAAAATAAACAATAATCTAATAAGATATTAGAGGTTTAATTCATGAAATAATATAGATTTATATGCCCAAGTGTTGATTATATTTTAGATAGTTTTTAATAAGGTAAGAAATAAGCTAATGGTTCTAGAAATAAAGGAAAAAATCATAAGGATTGAACCAATTATTATGAACTTTAGTTCAACATAATTTATTCCTAATAATCATAAAATTATTAAAAATTAATAACTGAAGTTAAATTCTATTATAGGTGAGATATGGAGGTAAACATATGTTATTGTGATGTGGGTTATTTTTTTTATGTCAAGAGATTTGAGGTCTTCTATTTTTTTCCAGCCAGAATACTGGAATCCTTGTCATTTGACTACAACAGAACTAAAAGAAAGGTCACTGACTAGGTTAGCGTGACAGAAGACAATGGAAATGAGGTAGATTAGAGCCCATACATGTACCATGAACTTCCACATTCAGGTCAAATGGAGTCTGTCTGATCTTAGTGTGAACCCTACTGGATATTTGTTGTGAAATATTTTCACTTAATCAGCTATAAGGGCAAGTAGATCATAACCAAAAATTGAAAATCGATTTGAAAAATTTGTGTACACCATGAAAAGTACGTGTGTATTGGTCACAGTTAGGACTCCATGATTGAAGGAAAAATAGTTTTGGAAGTATTCAAGATAAAACTTAATGGTCCAGCACATCATTTAGCAGGATTGTGGTTTTACAATGAATTTTACAATATGATTTTTACAATGAATTTTACAAGTCAGGTTAGTTACCTGACTGTGATGGAGGAAGTGAAGAATGTGAGTATTCTTCATGCAGTGTCCTTCAATCATTTCTTGTTAATGAACTGTTTGGAAGAAGATGGAATATGGAAATTCTAAGTTAATTTAGTACAAATAGATTGGCTTGGCCAATAGGTTAATTTAGCTGCTTCTTCAGTTCACAAATTTTCTGGAAATAGAAGGAACAGAAAAGTCTAAGTATAGGACTCTGGGACTTAAAAGATTTTACTTTCTTATTTGATGAACATCTAAATACATTGAAATCCAAAAATCAGAGAAAACAATGAAGCATTGTTAGGTTGTCCTAAGGAGTATGTAATCTGATTTACATAGGATTGAATATATAGCTGACAGTTGAGAGGCTGCTAATTTCCAAATACTAAATTATTTCTTGTTCATAAGAATTACAAATTTTTGAAGAAATACAAAGATTTCATGGAAATGATGTCATAATTTCAGAAGATATTCTTTTTTTAAGTTTTACTTTATTTTGATTCTTGAGAAGGAATCATGCTTTAAGTCTCTATGGCTGTGTGATGTCCACAAGGAATATCTTAATTGTCAGATGTTTGCCTTATGAATATAACTTTGTTTCAGAACTACCTAATTGAGCTGGAATTAAACTATACCCACCATGAAGGTATCCCTGGACTTTTGAAATGAAAAACTGAAATTATTATGAAATCAATTTCATTATGGCTAGGGTCTGAGAAATATTTGGGTGTACCTTTGAGTAGTAAAATAAGACACTCTTTCATGTAACTGACCAAAGAGAGGATGAATTAATATATTCAGAATTAAAAGGGTCTCTGAAAACGTATCAGTTATTTATTGTGTTAAATATCACTATTCTTATTGATTGATAGCTTCAAATTGATAAGTGCTTTATGTGACTTGTGCTGGACTTGAAAAAAAAACTCTTTAATTTTTTTGAGAATAACATTGAGTAAATAATTTTAACCTGGCTATAGACATTGGAGTCCTGGTGTGGCACTGTGGGGCAATGCTCTGGACTGCAAGATTTGTTTTAACTGTAAGGTCAGTAGTTCAAGCTTACTAGCCACTCCTCGGAAACACTATACAGGATTGCTATGAGCCAGAACCAACTTAACAGCACTTTACAGCAACAAACAGGAAGTCCCTGGGTTACAAACCAAATATGTTCCTAGGGTGTATCTGTAAGTTAAATTTTTACATAAGTCAGAACAGGTGCATACAGTTCTTATTTAGCTTAATTTAGTGCAAGAAAAGGCAGGGAAACTCCCCCCCAAGACTGAAACTCAAAGGGAACACATGAGCAGGCATGTAAGCTTGCTGGTGACCTTGTTGGTTGACTTGTGAGTGGAAGCGGGGGAAAGGCAGCAATGAAGATATGGACTAAGTTTGACCATGTTCTATGGACTCCCGTTCCACCTGGAGATGAGAGATAGAAGAGGAAGGGCTGGTTGGTCCGAAGTGTGTTGAGACCTGAGGATTCCTGAGCCCATGGAAAAGGACCTAGTCATGGAGGACTAGAGTTTAGAGTGAAGTGTCCACCTGATGTAAAGTGAGGCGAGATGCACAAGAACGCCTCAACTTGGAGATAGTTACCCATTTAACCTAGCTTCGATGGCTTCAGGATCAGAACTTGATTATAGGAAGACAAAAAAAATTTGATGAAAGAAGCAAATGTAAATTGCTACAATTTGATAAACTTGACCTATATTTATGGATTTAGTAGCTCAAAATACCAATGAGAAGGAAGGAGTCTTCACATCAAGGATCAATCTTATCTCCTTTGTACACAGGGGTGATAGGGACAGACAACTTAGACATTGACTACCTAAATTTAGGGGTGTGTGTGTGGCTATAAAGGCACAAAGTGACTGGCTTACAAGTTTTCAAGAGAAAGTTGAGTTTCTGAGTATGTGGGGGAAGGTAGAATCCTCACTGAATAGTTTTCATCTTGTCTAGACGGGTCTGGTGAAAGGAAATGGGAATAATAGTCTTATGATTCAATAGTGAGTAATTATTATCATGGCCAATTGTGATGGTCACAACTGTAAAGGTGGAAATTTTGTAACATAAAGAGGGGAGTAGTTAATCTTCCATAAACAGAGGACCCTAGGACCATCAAGGGAGGAGAACATGAGCAGAAGAATGTGGGACCCTATCCAGAGAAACAGCGACAGCAGAGATGGAGGCAGAGATGATGACATGGAGAGATAGAGCAGCTGAGGACTCTAGACTCATGGAAAGAGAAAGGCTGTGTGCTGGCAGCCAAGAGGCAGGCTTGCAGAATGTGCCCTTTGGTTGTTTAAATGATTATATATTCCTGAGTGTTTTTGCATACATCAAACAAACAAACAAACCAGAATAGAAGGAAATACTATTGAATAGTGATATATGAAGGGATTTGTAATCATTGCAATGAAATATAATAGGATGAATGCCAAACAGCTCTCTCCTGTAAACTGTCACTCAATTTACAATAAAAGCTTAAAAAAAAAGAAAAGAAAAGGCAGGGAGCCTTTTTAGGGATTTAATATCTACAGAAGCAGCAAGTGGCTGCGATGCGGAATTTGTTGCTACTTTGTTTCTGATGTGGCACAGTAGAATAAGCACCGGCCACAGGGTAGGTTTGAACAGCAAGGTCAGCGGTTCAAACTCACCAGCCACTCCCTGGAAACCCTATACGAGGTCTCTATGAGTTGGAATCAACTCAGTGGCACTTAACAAGGATGAGAATTGGATCAGTTGTTTCAAAGTGAGAACAAATTTATTAAACTTTAAAGGGCAAATTTATCTAACATGATAGTGGAAGACCCCCAACAAGCTGGTTTGACAGCATGGTGGCAGCAGTGGGCTCATGCATAATGAGGATGCTGTAGGAGCAGGCAGTGGTGTGTTCTGTTGTGCATCAGTTCACTATGAGTCAAAACCGACTTGACGGTATCTTAACAATAACAAGGTTCAATTTTTTTTTTTTTAATTTTAATTTTTTGTTGTGAATTAAGTGAATGTTTACAGACAAGATCATCAGTTTTCCATTCAACATATTTTGCACTTTGTTGCTTCTCAATGATTGCAGTCCCCTCCACGCAACAATAACCAACCAGTTTTTAAGTTACATGACTGGATTTTGATCATTAGTTGCAAACTAGTGCTGGGAAGATAGAAATACTAATAACATGCTGTTTAGATTCCTTCATCTTGCTTATTCTGGACATGTCATTAGGAAAAAACAATCACTAGAGAAGGACATCACATTGGTAAATTGGAGGGTCATCACAAATGAGGGGAAATCTCAGTGATAGATAGCATCGATGGACTCAAGTGTGGCAACAGTAGTGAAGTTGGCCCAGGATCAGGCAGTGTTTCGTTCTGCTGTGCATAAGGTCACTATGAGTCGGTACTGACTCGATGGCACCTAACAACAACAACTCAGTGATATGGATTGACACAGTGACCTCAACATAGGCCTCAAACTATCAAAGACCATGGAAATGGCACACTATGGGACAACCTTTTTTTTCTGGATTATCTGGGCAAACTTAATCACAAATGTTCTTTAAAAAGAGAGGCAGGAAGGTCAGAGTCAGATGAGATACAACCTTGCTTGCTGAAAGCGAAGATGACTTAAAATTCTTACTTATGAAGATCAAAGACTTCAGTATGGTTTGCACCTCAATGTAAAGAAAACAAAAATTCTCACTACTGGATCAATAAACAACAACATGATAAGTAGTGCAAAGATTGAAATTGTCAAAAACACGTAAGTTCACTTTGCTCAGATCCATCATCAACACTCAAGGACGAAGTAGTCAAGAATCAAACAATGTATTGCATTAGGCAAATGTGATGCATAAAATCTCTTTAAAGTGTTCAAGAGCAAAAATGTCAGTTTGAGGTCTAAGGTGTGCCTGACCCAAGTCATGACATTTTAAATGCATGTGAAAGTTGGACAGTGAATAAGGAAGACTGTAGAAGAAGAATTGATGCATTTGAGTTTTGGTGTTGAAGGAGAAAAATTAAAGTGCCTTGGACTGCCAAAAGAACAAACTAATCTGTATTGGAAATAAATACAGCCAGAATACTCTTTGGAAACCAGGATGGCCAGACTTCGTCTCACATACTTTGGATATATTATCAGGAGGGACCAGTCCCTGGAGAAGGATATCATGCTTGGTAAAATGAAGGGTCATCAAAAAAAGAGGAAGACCCCAAATCAGATGGATTGGCATAGTGGCATCAGTAATGGACTCAAGTGTAGCAACGATTGTGAGGTTGGCACAGGACTAGACAGTATTTCATTCTGTTGTGTGTATATAACTATGATATGATATCGACTTGATGACACCTAACAACAACAACAACAGCTAATTTGATAAGCTATTTTAATTAGTTGCTATGACATTTATATTCATCTTTTGAGACACAATAACAATATAAAACAAGACGGTAATATAACTTGTTAAATTATGCGAGTTGGTTCTGACTCGTAGCCACCCTATATAGGGTTTCTGAGGAGCTTACGGTTAGCAGACCAGTACTTATCCTATAGCACCACCACCAGCTTATAATGTGTAATCCCATGTGATAGGGAATGTTATACTGAGGGAGTTTTTGAGCTGAGTCCTAAGTGAAAAGAGGGCAACCGTGCAAAGTCCTAGAGGAGGGACATTGCTGGGCAGGAACAAAGGCAAGGGCCAAGACTGTTGGCCTTTAGTGAGCATGACATCTTCAGTGGTTGGAAATGAAGGCCAGTGTGACTGTAATCTGGAGGGCAGGAAGATGAGTGGCATGAGAGAGAGAAAGAGAGGGAGGAAGAGAGAGAGAGTGCGAGCCAGAATATGTAAGTTATTGTTGTTAAGTGCCATCGAGTGGGTTCCCACCCATAGCGACTCTGAATAGGGTTTCTGAGGAATGGCTGGTGAGTTTGAACTGCTGACCTTGCGAGTCAAACTTCCCTTGATATGCAGCACATTATCCTGCATTGCTATACCAGGACTCTGAATATGTAAGTAGGAAGTGTATATTTTATTCTGAGTAAAATGGGATGCCTTTTGTGGGGTTTAAGTAAGGAAGTGAAAGGATTTGATGTATAATTTTGAGAAGCTCAATCTCACTGTTGTTATAGAATTGATGTTTGAGTGGGATAGTATAGGCTAAGAGTATATGTTATCAGGAAACCAGTTAAGATGAATTGAAATACGTTAGCTAGACTACTTGGGTTCTCAATCAACATCCGTGGAAGCAGCAAGCAAGATATTAAATGACATACTGCGTAAGGCAAATCTGCCGCAACAGACCTCTTTAAAATATTAAAAAGCCAATAAATCACTTTCACTTTGAGGACTAAGATACAGCTGATCCAAGCCATGGCATTTTCAGTTGCCTCATATGCTTGTGAAACTGGACAATAAGTAAGGAAGATCAAAAAAGAATTAATGCCTTTGGATTATGGCATTGATGAAGAATACTGAATATACCATGGGCTGCCAGATGAAGGAACAAATTTATCTTCGAAGAAGAACATCCATAGTATTCCTCAGAAGCTGTAATGACAAGACTTTGTCTCACTTACTTTGAACATGTTATTAGGGTAGCCTAGTCTCTGGAGAAGATACCATGCTTATGAGGATGATGTAGAATTGCACAGTGTTTAGTTCTGTTACACACAGGGTCTCTCTGAGTCAGAACCAACAGGACTGTACCTAAGAACAACAAACTAGAGGTGATGGTGCCTCTTGCTTCATTTTAGCAGAGAAGTGCTGAAAATTATTTGGGTTTAAAGTTTATAAACATTGGAGGTTGTCTTGCGAGACTCAGTGATGGATTGGTTTTAGGATGTAGAGGAGAGAAGTCAAGGTTGACTCCTACTTTTGACGTATGCCAAAAGCTGGATGGATGATAGTGTCATTCACCCAGACAAAATGTCTAAGGGAGGAGCAGGTGGGAATAAACATCAAGGATTCTATTTTGGACATGTTAAGTTTGAGGTACCTACTAAGCATGCAGGTGGCACTATTGAAAGGATAATCTAATGTGTCATCATGATATATATATATATATGTGTGTGTGTGTGTGTGTTGTTGTTGTTAAGTAGCATGGAGTCGTTTCCAACTCATAGTGACGCTACACAGTGTTTCCGAGGCTGTAAATCTTTACGGGAGCAGAAAGCCTCATCTTTCTTCCATGGAACAGCTGGTAGTTTCGAACTGCCAATCTTGAGGATAGCAGCCCGATTTGTAACCACTATACTACCAGAGCTCCGTATGTATGTATGTATGTCCTTTGAATTCAGAACATTTAAAAATACTTCAGATAAAGTTGCATGAAACCTGTAGATGACTCCTTATATATATATAAGGAGCTCTGGTAGCATAGTGGTTATGAATAGGGCTGCTAGCCTCAACGTCAGCAGTTCAAAACTACCAGCTGTTCTGCGGGAGAAAGATAAGGCTTTCTGCTCCCGTAAAGACTTGCAGCCTCAGAAACCCTGTGCAGGGTCACTATGAGTCAGAACCGACTCCACAACACATAACAACAATATCGTCTTTGGAAACGCTATACTAGGGTGGCCATGGGTCATAATCAACTGGACGGTACTTAACAACAACAACAAATACAGTCCTGGGGGGGCACTGTGGGATAAGCACTAGGCTGCTAACTGCAAGATTGGCAGTTCAAACCCACCATCTGCTTCTTGGAAACACTATACATAGTTACTAAGCTTTGGGACCAATGTAATAGCACTTAACAACAATATTGTTGCTATTTTTTAATATTTAGATTATTTTTGAAAGGATTTTAGAATCCATTTTTGAGAAAAAGACTCCTTTCTTCCTCCTCCTAAAATGCTTATGAGCCACATAAATCTTTTTGTAGATGAAAATTTTTACTCCAGGAGTTTTTACTAAACTATAAGCATGGAGAATGGCTAGGGAAAAATACAGGAAAGAAAGGGAACAAAAAGTTCAGGCTGTGCCTTTCTACTTAGTATTTTTCTCCATCTTTTTGTTTCATTCATCACACACTCCCTGGTACAAACTATTTTGTCTTTACGTCTTTTGAGCCTAGTCATATTCAGCATATTGTAGTTGTTCAGAATATAATCATAGTTTTCATATGCATGAAGGTACACAGTTCTTCTGGGACATTCAGTTCCCATTTAAATGGCTTGGGAAACAAATATTATAAGTTTGCTGTCAAATCAGCAAATATCATCCCTTTTTTCTTATTCAGAATGTATTTTGTGCTTGGAATTGTATTAAAAATTATTGTCTCACAATACTTATTTAAGTCTACTAAATTAATGAAGATTTTCTTCAATTTTGTTATAGAGTTACAAGTTTTGTCAAGGAAAATTACAGTTAATATTAGATCAATTGGATCCTGGGCAACCTAAAGAGGTAAGTTTAAAGGCTAGCTGTCAAGCTAAGTCAGATATTATGTATTTGTATAGGGTCTCTATGAGTCGGAACTGACTCCACGGCATATAACCACTACCACCTCTACCACCATAATCTTGGCATTCTGCTGTGGTGCTGTAGGATAAGTTTGGCAGTTCAAACCCACTAGCTGCTCCTTGGAAACCTTATACAAGGTCACTGTGAGTCAGAACCAACTTAATGGTGACTGCTACTCCAGAGAAGAGGCTTTTTTTTTTTTTTTTTTTTTTAATGGTTAATACTAGCTCACTAAGCTGCTCCTAGGAAACCCTACGTAGTGTTGGTGTGGGTCGCAATTGACTCGATGGCGCTTAACAACAACAACAACAATAATATATCCCTTCTAGACTTTATATTCTTGAAAAGAAAGGTCACAGAGTGAGGGAGATGTTCCTTAGGGAATCATCTTGGTTTGTTATAATTTGTCAGAAGAAATTTTCATTTCTGGTGTTAATTTTGAAGGGATGAATTTATGGGCAGTTGTAACTGCAACTATGCCATCATTGCTGTTTTAAATGTAATCTTTTAGTTAATATATTTCTGAAAAAAAAAATAAACAAAGGCTTGATGTATTGCTTCTTTTTTTAACTTCTAGAAATTGTAAGCACTTTTTTATTATAAAAATATCTTTAATTAATTTATTGTATGTGTTGAGTCCTGGTGTGGTGCTGTAGGATAAGCATGGGATTGCTAACCATAAGCTATGTGTTTCAAACCCACCAGTCACTCTGGGAAACCCTATACAGTGTCACTAAGAGTTGGAACCTGTTCAATGGCACTTAACAACAACAAAGCCCAACAACAACAAAGCCCTAGTGTGTTGCTGTAGGATAAACACTGGACTGATTAACCATAAGGTGGTGGTTCAAACCAACTTCTGCTACTTGGAAACCTTGTACAGGGTCAGTTTGAGTTAGAATTGCTTGATGGCATTTAATAGAACTTAATAACAGTAAGTCTTTTGTTTAAACTTTGCCATTTACTCTCAATTTTTGAAAAACAGTATTTATTTTCTTGAACTTTTCATTTTAAACTAAATGAATAAACCAAGAACCCAGTTGTCACTGAATCGATTTTGATTCATGGCGACCCTATGTGTTTCAGAATAGCACTGAACTTGGTAGGCTTTTCAGTAGCTGCGATCTTTTGAAAGTCGATTGCCATTCCTTTTTTCTGAGGCACTCTGGGTAGATTCAAGCCATCAACCTTATAGTTTGTAGCTGAGCACTTATCTATTTGCTCTACCCAGAGACTCAACTAATTGAAGTTGTGACTTACTTTTATTGAAATTATCTAACTAAGAGTCTTAAAGAACAATACTTTTTTTCTTTTGTTATTCTGATTTATTTTATGGGTTCTTAGTAAGTAAATGATAATATTTTAAAAGTTTTTGGAAATTGAATTTGATTCTTAATGGTAAAACTTTTGTTGTCTTCAGTTTAAGTGGAATACTTGGGAATTTATACCTGTCCAGAGTACCATTTTTCTACTTCTGAAATTAAGATTATCTGAAAAAGAGATATTATTTAACATTTTAAATGGGTTCCTAATTTTTAAAAGTATTCCAATATTTCCCCTGATTCCTACCACTAATAAAGTTGTATTTGGAAATTCTCTTTATGATTGAGTAGATATTATGAGCTACATGTATATATTTTGTCTTCTTCACCTGAAAGTTCATAACCATATTTTAGTGTCTGTCTTCTTGGGGTCTTACCTATCCTGTCTCGGCCTCATCAGTCTCTTCTTCATTAGGCTTTAGTTTCTGCTGAGCAATGACCAGCTTTTGCAGAATAGGTTGGAATTAGTGTGTGATCACTCACTATTTGCTCCATTACTAGTTGGAGTTGAATATTCTTCTCTGCTGTCCCTTGGGTCACATTGTTTTGAGCGAATTCTGATTGGGTTCTGAGAATGTTTAAGTAGTATGTTTTCTGGAAAAACTCAAAAATTTAATTTTGCGTCCCATATCTGAATGATTTTTTAATTCTACCTCAGAGGTTAGAAGGTCACGAGATATGGTGAGGCAACAAAAACAAGTTTAAACTAATTGATTATGTGAGAATTGTTCATATGTCCTGCAATAGGAATTCTTCACTGGGACTTCTGGACAAATTTAAAAATTAAACCCCTAAATCTGTAGGCGCTTTTTTGATAATTTACTAGAGTGGAGAAAATGTGTTGGGCAAGGTTATTGGAAAATGTTGCCCTGGTAACTCAGATTAAACCACTATCCTTTTTCCTCTCCTATGTAGATATCTATCCTAGAATCTCTTAGCAAATTTAGTATTTTAATCTTATTTTACAAAACTGGCAATCTGTTTCTTTTCTGTGCTTGTTGTTGTTGTTAAGTGCC